GGTTGCGATTACTGTTTGGGTGAGGAACCGTGCCATGTTTTGATTATATTTGCACGAAGGGTCATTCCGTGCCATGTTTTGATTATATTTGCACGAAGGGTCATTCCGTGCCATGTTTTGGTTATATTTGCACGAAGGATCATTCCGTGCCATGATATGAGAGTTACGTGAGGGAAAGCACGAAGGGTGATGCCGTGCACTTTATTTGATTGCTTTGGTGAGAATGAGAGTAAAAGCACGAAGGTTGATGCCGTGCAACTGTTGATTGTCCTGCTCTCATTAATTATTGTTATTGCCTTGTTTCTTATTTAAATTGTTGACTTTATCTTCGGATTGTACCTCCCCATAGTATGTTTCCCTCCCTCTTAACTGTTAAACTTCTGTATTCTTTCCTTGTACTGCATATATATATACATTGAACTGCACAGGTTGATTTGGTAGTCCTCTAGCCTCGTCACTACTTCACCGGGGTTAGGCCAGGCACTTACCAGCACATGGGGTCGGTTGTGCTGATGCTACACTTCTGTGCTCTTTTGCACAGATCACGGTACCGGAGCAGCTTTTGGACCACAGCAGTAGGATATCGATCGGGAGCTGACTTCAGTCCAGGGACTTACTAGGTTGCCTAGCTGGCGTTCGCAGGCCGGAGTCCCTTTCTATGTTTCAGTTTGTTTCCATTGTACCGAGACAGACATTTATGTATTTCTATTCTGACTTGTTTGTAGCACTCTTTAGTAGTTCGTGAGATAGCGACTCCAGTCTTGGGTAGTGAAATATTAGACTTCCGCATTTTGGGTTTTCAGTTATCTATGTTTTGAAAGACTTCCGCATTTATTTAAAGACTCGTTATTTTATTATTGTTATGTTGTTATCCGAAAATATTTAAATGCTTGGCTTGCCTAGCTCTAACAGTAGGCGCCATCACGACTCCCGATGGTGGGAAATCCGGGCCGTGACATATATGCTCACACATAACGTAGTATTTAACCACACTATGCTTCGCGTGTTAAAGATTCTTTCGGATATAAAATAACTTTTTCGCAGGTGGGCAGCTTTTCAGATCGACAAGTCAACACACATAACATAGTATTTACCCGCGCTATATATATTCACATATTTATCAAACATCTTCCTCCTCTGATAGTGTAGTATTCTAATAATATTAGAGTGAAATTCGAAAGTCAACGTAAAAATTTTCCATTTTTTAATCCAATACTATTTTTGATTACATGAACGGGAGGGAGAAATTCATTAATTTACCTAACTGAAAAATGTTAAATATTAATAAGATTTAACAACAATGGAAATATAATTTTATTTGATACATCTTGCAATATAAACAAGTACATACACTTATTACAACCACATTACGAAAACAAAACACTACATGTATCCTTGATAGTTGGGCACATTAGATGAAATTTTACCAGGAGCTGGATTACCACCGCCACCCAAACCACTTGAAGGACATTTACGACAGTCGTGTCCTGTTTGCGAGCATATGCCACATTTACGCGCATAATCGGTATCACCAACATCCATTTGTTTTCATATACGTGTTCTTTTTCGCACTTGTAGCTTACGCAAATAGTCCTTGTTACACACCATTTTAAATGGTTCCGACGGCCAATAATGCTCAGCACCCACTAGCTGCAACTGCCCACTATATGTGTTTCAGTATGCAGCAATACTGTATTGCTTATCAACATAGTTGGTTGGCCCTAAACCTGTATGTTGAAAGCACTTCATGGCATGTGAGCACGACGTGTGGTAGATGGACCATTTCCCATAAGAACACAACCTGCTAGATTCATTTACGGTGTGTATATTATTCCCCCAATTTTGATGTATAGCGGTGCGAACTTCAAAAATATTTCGCTCGTTGCAATACTGTAAATATGAATGCCAATGTGCTCGCCTCCTGTATTTCTCAAATCTTTTCATTGGTATTGGCATAAATTCAACACCCCTCTCCATAAATTCCGATGCACCTCTATGCCTTTCAACAAACCTCTCCGCCATCTGTTTGAATGGCATCCGCACAATGGCAGTGACAGGCAATCCCCGTGCAGACTTTAATAACCCGTTGAAAGACTCAGACACATTTGTAGTCAGGGTTCCCCATCGTCTGCCACCATCCGCATGCAATGTCCACTTGTGAAGCTCATGTCGCATCAACCAATGATAGGCTCTTTCGTCTTCCTGCCGGATCAATTCCATGCGCTTCCTGAATTTGCACTCCTGGTGAGCAGTTGCAGTCATCCACATTAAATCATGCAATTCCTTGTTGGGATATTTCTTCTAGAAATTGGCCTTCAGGTGCCTAACACAGTAACAGTGGTATGCATACGGTTCTTGCCATTCAGGCAAATGCTCTACTTAATATACCCATATGCCGATCATATATTAGACAAATACCTAAACGTTGTTTGACAACATGCTCCTTCAAGTGGTTCAAAAATAGCGTCCATATCTCTTGGCTTTCATTTGCACAGATGGCAAAAGTTAGGGGAAAGATTTGTCCATTGGCATCTACTGCAACGGCGATCAACACCTTAATATCATACTTTCCACAGACATGAGTACTGTCTATGGAAATACCAGACGGCATTGCACAAAACCATCAATTGCTGGTTTAAATGCCCAGAACACGTATCTGAATATATATTCCGGTATTCCTGCACTCCGCTCAAGCTTCCATTCAACAACAGTACCGGGGTTAAAGTGTTGCAATGAGGCCATGTACCTGGGTAAAGATGAAAAAGACTTATCCCAGTCACCATAAACAATTTCAAATGCACGTTTGCGCCCGAGATATGCCTTTCTTTTGGTAATAATACACCCATATTCCTGGTGGACGGATGTAATACACTCTTTGATCCCTTATGGACGCTTCAATATGTGGAATCCGTTGAAGAGAAATCAAGTCAACATCCAAGTTGAAGTTATTCCCATTGAATGCGTTCATTTCACAATTGTGGGTGCCAATATATTTACCCACTTTCCACGACCTTGTTTTCTTCTTGCTCGCACGTAGCATCCAATGACAACCCGTAAACCATCTACGACAAACAACTTTGTATACATCTGGAGATGACTCACATACCATCATCTCACGACACTCTTTTACGCTGTACATTTTCACCGCCCTGCTTAGGCGCGCTTTATCAGGAAAAGGCATGCCCTTTGCCAGCACCGTTGGTATAGACTCATCCCACATTGCTGTTCGAATTTCGTCAAAATCCCTTGTGAGGGCATCCATATCCGGCATACTTGGCAAATGATCAAGGTAGGGAATATGCCTTGAATGAAACGACACGTGGGACTCGTACACTCTTGGTCTAACGGGAGGTGGAGCATGCTCCCTCATCAAATCAGGTTCAGCATTCTCTTCCTCCTCATCGTCACCCTCGTCAGGGAAGGGTGTGTCATCTCCAGACATCGGCATTGTTGTCATAATAACTACTATCTTCCTGACTCTGCGCATATGCCAAATTCCGAGTAAATACGTCATCTACGGGCAACTGAGTGAGGACAGGACCATCATGTTGCTCGTTTTCACTGCACAAACAACAAAATAATAAGCTACTCAAATTGATCAATACTTTACATATAACTATATCACTTCACTTACAAGTCGTAATGTGTTGACATTCCATGATGGACATTATCCTGTTGGTGATGACTCCCGGATGGACCACCATGATCCAACACACCAAAACTACGCATATTCCAACTGGGCATGGGTTCATAACTTGTAAAATTCATATCTGGACTATACCACCTGTGGAATATATGAGTGTTAATACAAATTCAATACAACAAAAACAAACATCGTAACATAAAGGAAAATTGAAGTTACAGTCGTCTTGTGGATTATGTAAAGTAGGAGAGAAATTATTTCCTCGCTCCTCATTCGCCCATGGAGATAAGTTTAGATCCGGCCAAACTCTTTTAGCCGGAACCTGTTCGGCTAAAATTGTTCCAGAATAACCACCCGACGATTTAGGGTTATCCCCGCTTTGCGCAACCTCATTATTGCGAACGTCTTCAACCTTCATGTACATTTCCAATATTTTTATCAAAATAAATTCTCGGTATTCATCTGGAGTCCCCAAAAAATCTCTCAGAGTTTCATCATCCTCGATGTTAAACTCATCGTAACAAGCAAACCCTTGCGAAGTCACAGAATAGGGATATCTTCCGGTTATTTTAAGATTCACCGAACGTTTGCTCACACTCATTTTATTACATAACAACGATACCAGTCTATCGTACTCCATTGTAAGTGGCAACTTAAAATGACTCTGTGGAGATAAACTATAGCTCACTGAGTTATTCGCCACCACAACCTCAGCTCCCCCCTCCCCCCAATATAATAAAACCCTTACTTTTCACTCTTCAGACATTATGAAGAAATGCTAGATAATTTAACAAGAAGAAAAATTTATCAGGAGTTGAGAATATTTCTGAATGAATTTTTGCAAAACCCTTAACGCCTTTAAATAAGGCAATGCCCAATCGGGAGGGGGGGGGGGGATTTTTTAAAGTAAAATGCCTTTTAAAAGGGCGTTTTACACATTTGAATTATTGTTATGTCAGTTAAGCGCATAAGAGTTATTGGTGGGCCCACAAAATAGGTAAAGCGTGGTTTGAAAAGGCATTTTATATAAAACGGGGTTTTGAAACGCGCTTTAACTTAACGTCCCAAACGGACGTTAAAGTAAAGCGCGATTTGAAATCGCATTTTATATAGTTTGGTCACTAAGTTTTATACACCTCTTTTTGCCCAAAATCTTATTTTTAGCTTTCGACAATTTCCCAAAGATTTTAGGGTTGTCTTTGACTAATCCTTTTCCTCTTGACAATTTAACCAAATAACAAGGCACCCTTATATCCTTGGTACGTGGCGGAATAAAAATAATCAATTGATACGTGGGATCTTCCACTCATTTCCTCATTTATAACCGCAAAACTGGGCCTTAAACCGCTTAAAGCCCACGGGCCGAAAATACTAAGCTCCATTCTCTCTCTCACAGCCATACTTAAGTTCTCTCGTTCTCTCTCTCATAGCCTCACAAGGTTGTAGTTTGTACCGTAATCTCCCAAAATTGTCACTGTTTCCGTGTGATTTGCTGCATTTTCTGGAAATTTCATTGCTATTCTTCTCCTCAAGGTTCATTTCACGTCGTATGGATATCGGAAGTTTAGCTCCATGAAATGATTTCTGTGATGAGCAACGGATTTGAAGCAAATCGAAGGAACGATTCAGTAGAAGAGACGAAACTTAGGGTTTCCACAACAACCTCCAGTATCACCCCCGCTGATGGTTCTAGGGTTTCTATGGACGTAAAGAATTCTAGGGCTTCGAATTCGGATTCTAGGGTTTCGAATGCGGAAAACGAGGGAAATGAAACAATTAAGGTTAGGGTCATGATAGAGGAAGAAGGCGCGAACTCCGTGAAAGCGAATCGGGTTAAGTTGGAGCAGAAAGGTAAGACGACATCATTAGTTTCTAGTAGAACTGATGTCAAGAAGGGAAAAATGGAGCCTGTTGTTTCTGGATACCATTTGATGCTATCTAAGTTCGATGAGTTTGCAGGGAATGGGAAGAGTTGGTCAGTTGGTTACGGTTTTGAAATGGGTGATATGGTGTGGGGGAAGGTGAAATCACACCCTTGGTGGCCAGGTCACATTTTTAGTGAGGCGTTTGCTACTCCTTCCGTACGAAGGAGTAAAAGGGAAGGTCACATTTTAGTGGCTTTTTATGGTGATAGCAGTTATGGCTGGTTTGACCCGGATGAGCTAGTACATTTTGAACCAACTTTTGCTGAAAAATCTATGCAAACTAATGTGAAGAACTTTGTTAAGGCGGTGGAGGAAGGGGTTGATGAGGTAGGCCGGAGGAGTGCTTTAGGTTTGGTTTGTCATTGTAGGAAGAGATACAAGTTTCGTTCTGCGGAGGTTGATGGGTTTTTTAGTGTAGATTTTAGTGATCTTGAGAAGAATTGTACTTACTCTGCCAGTCAGATTAAGAAGGCTAGGGAAAGGTTTCAACCGAAAGAGACATTTGACTTTGTGAGGAAGTTGGCGTTAAAGCCTAGGAGTAAAGTGCACGAGACCGATCTTAACTTTGTTAAGAAGAAGGCGACTGTGTTGGCTTATAGGAAGGCAGTGTTTGAGGAATTTGATCCTACGTATGCTGAAGCTTTTGGTGTTATTCCTTCTAAACAAGCACAAGAAGCAGTGGCTCAGCCATTTAGACAGCCTTCTTCAAGAGGTACTAATTTCTCTCTTTCGATGTTATATTTAATGCTCTTCTATCGAAATCCTCCAAAACCCAACACGGTTTTTTTTTGCACGACTAGTTTGTATCTAATTTTTGAAGCATTCTCAAGCTCATTACTTGGATGGTACTCTTAGAACTTTAGTGCTATGAAGGGATTGCAGTGTTTTAGCACCTCGAACTCTCATTTGGAGGGAAGTGCTGGACTGCTGGTACCAGGCTACTAGCAGTCACAATAAATGGGTTTCCAGCTTTTGGTGTTAAGCGCCTTGTTTAGTTGAGGCATTCTTTACTTTCCTTATGGATGTGTTGTATTAATCACTTTTCACTAGTATATATTTCACTTGGATTAGATTTATTTTCCAATCGAACACAAATCCTTTTGAATAAAATATATTTTGTTGTTTTCTATACCAGTTATTAGTTGTTAAAGGATTACTTTTTTTTGTTGATGAAGTAAGGGAATTTCATTAAAAGTTGTTAAAGGATTACTTGGGATTATCTACCACACTTGGGTGCCCTATTCCAGCAATCTAATTTAAATAACCTTCGGCAGAAGGCGGCAGTAGCACACACTAAAGGATAAAAAGAGACAAGGTTGTTTGAGATGGTTTGGTCATGTCTTACGTCGATCTCCTAATGTATCAGATTATCGGTGTGAAATCATAGTGAGGGGAGGTGTTAAAAACAGATGAGGTAAAGCTAAGATTACATGAAATAAGTTGTCTCGAAAGACCTACAAATTCTTGGAGTCTTTGTAGACATAGCGAAAAATAGCGTATGACGGAAGGAAAAAATCTTTATTGGCGATATCAATTAGTTGAGATTGAGTGTTAGTCATGCTGGGATGTTTATTTTAGGTCCAGTGTTTGCTAGGAGTATTTTACTCTTCTTGTTGCTGTTGTAACCCAAACTTATTTTTACAGAACTTTTCTGCAATGGTTTCTTCAGTGGAAGTGAATATATTCACAATTAAAAAAAAGTAGAAGTGAATAAATTCATGCATCCTTAACCCATTAATCTTGAAATTGATGTCGTTAAATCTTGTTGATTTTTTTTGACATGAATCAGAAGAAGTTTGATGACACTTCTAGATGAAGTTTAGAGTTTTGTCCTTCTGTATTTTAGTAGGCATTTGTTTTTTTCTTCTCTCCTCTCTCTGTTATCGCCCCCCCTTGTGCGTCTCTCTGCCTCTTTGATAATCTGGTGTAATGTCTGTGGTGAACCATAAATAGATAACACCGCATTGTATGCGTCCTGCAGCGAAGGAAAAATGAGGGATAAGCTTGCGTCTTATTTGAGTTACTCATTGGCTTATATATTCTTCTTTCTTTTTCATTTTTGTCTTTCCTCCACCGATGGGAGGGATTACTCGTCCTGCGTTTATTTCCCACTTTTAAGCATCTCCGTACCTATAAATAAAAAGAAGCAACAGTGGCGTGTGCAAAAAGAATGAGAATTTTATCTAAAAAAAGTAGCAAATGATGGTCAATTAATTGAAGCAATAATGCAGTACTGAATATGGTTCAGTATGGTTGTGATGTTCAAATAACAAGGCGATGCTTACGACGAGACCATATGGTTGGGTTTTTTATGTGCTAACTAGGAGAAAACCATAAAGGAGTAAAAATAAAAGAAAATTGAGAAAAGCAAAAGGGAATTGCAAGATTGGATTTAGTGGTTAAATATGTGTATTTTCCTGCTGTTGTATCTAATTGCACTCTTTGCAGCTAAAGGGCTATTTCTGTGTTCAAATTTTCACCCTGTGAAACACATGCCGAAATTTAGAACTAGCTTTATGCATTCGTGATCGAACCAAAGACTTTGCAGTAGTCATTAGTCAACAGTTTAATTTTAGATAAAACCATGTAGGAAACAACTAAATTGGACTGAGGATATGAATCAGTGTCTCAACAGAGATGCATTCTTCATTTCTTGGGAAGGAATTGTGATATGAAAGTCTTGGTTATAAATTGCTCTCTACAAATGGATTGGTTCCTGTTGGACCAAAAAGGGAAGTAAGATAAAAAAATTTTGAGATAGGGAGTGTAATTTGCAAAAAGTAATATGGGATTAGATTGTTTGACAACAGTAATATCGTGTGAGATGTCGTACAAAGAATGAAAGGATTTTTGGTAAGTTGAATTTTACAGAACAAAATCTTTCTTAAAAAAACTTAAACAAAATAAAAAGGGTTTCCTTTCTTCTTCAAAACATCCTGTAAAATGGCTGTGGAGTGGTGGTCAAGTTGTCAATAGTGTATTTGCCGGTGAATAATTGAAATTGAATATGAATAGGAGCTTATAGCATTGTGTTGTTATTCCAGAAGAAATGTGGCGTGCAAAAGTATGGGATGGTAAGTTCAACTGTTGTCCCTTTTATGTAGTAAAAATAAATGCTGCAGTCCAACATTTAACCTAAAGTTGTATGCGGACATAGCATTTTAGGGTGGATATAATTAGCAACTGACAAAATAAAGTGTAGCGCTTTCCTTGTGTTGAGTTGGGCAAAGAAAATATGACAGTTTATGTGCAAACTGCTTTTTATCCTTGTTTTAATGTGGTGAAACCCCAGATATCAACGGAAATTCTTATCTCTTTTTAGCTGTTAAAGTCATTTCCTTCACAATGTTTTTACTTTTCTTTGCACATACAGACAAATAATTGCATTTATATTGCAGATTTCAATGTTTTTAGAATTTGTTTGCTTCCATCTTCATATTGGTTATGTTATTGGGATTCTGAGTCTTTAACTTTTCTGGATTTCTTTTTTTCTAATATTAGCTTCACGTTCTTGTTTTTTTTCTATCTCTCTTTTGAATTGTTTGTACCTTTACCTTTTGTTAAATAAGCGCTTTATACATTTTTAGCAAAAATTTCTCAACTTCTTGTCAAATTTTGCTCACTTGTGTCTTTTGTGCTTCGACAAATTACAGCTCCTTTGAGTGGCAGATTGGTGCAGGCAGAAACTCTGGGTAAGGGAAAGAGTTCTGCAAAATCTAATAAAATGAAGGACCAAGTTGAGAAAGACAGGTATCTATTTAAACGCAGAGATGAGCCTGGTAACCTGAAAGTCCAAGTTGGTGCAGCACCAGCAGTTAATTCTGACCAGCCCGTTCATCTAGATGGTTCCTCCTTATCAGGAAAAGATGTTTCTCCTAGTGCTGCTGAGCACCTGCCTAGTGCATCTGGCTCCACCTTGATTGAGCAGCCATTAAATCCGGCAGCTAATGTGGAAGAACTGCATGGACAGAGACAAGCTGAAGATGATGGTACTGATGTTGTGCAGCCTTCTGTGCCTACTGAAGCAAAGCTGCATGCTGGGGGTTCTCGAGTAAAGAAGATCAATAGTGGACCAGATAGGGTCAAGATTCGTAAACGTTCTGGCGAGGAAGTGAGTGGTGGCAGTAGTCCCTCAACCGAGAGGAAGAAAAAGAAGAAAAAGAAGGCGGAGGGGGGCTTGAATGCAAACTCTAATCATGTGGAGGGACAAGTAGCTGTTTCTTCAGATAGTATGGTGATGGAGAAAGTAGCAAGAGAGTCTGTCCAAGTTCCTTCAGCTTCTAGGGAAGAACTTCAAATGGATATTCAGCAAAAGGGTGATGCCACAGGTAGCTCTGTGCCTGATGGTTTGGTAACAGAAGATGAGGTTCGGGTTAGAAGCAACAATATTGAGCTTCCTCAAGTACTTAGTGATTTACATGCTCTTGCTCTTGATCCATTTTATGGTGTAGAGAGCAGCAATATAAAAACAATACGAGAACTGTTCTTGAAATTCCGGTCTCTTGTCTATCAAAAAAGCTTGGCCTTGTCTGCCGCAGTTGAGAGTGAGTCAAGTACCCCCATCAGCAAATCACATGTTGTCGCCCATATCTCAGACACTGCCTCCACCAATAATGTGAAACAAACATCAAATCTGAAGCCAGAGAAGAATCCTGCCAGGCCTGATGATCCTACCAAAGGAGGGCGAAAGAGGGGTCCTTCAGATAGGCAAGAGGAAATTGCTGCCAAGAAGAAGAAAAAGATCAATGATGTGAGAGCATTGGCAGCACAAAAGAAGGCTTCCTTGAAGGCTTCAGAAGTTCAACAAGGCGAAAGCAAGGAAATACCTGCCAAAAAACTGTCTTCAACACAAGCGAAAGTCTCTAAGCCAGATATTGGTAAGAAGAAGGAGCCTGACCCAACCATGCTTATTATGAAGTTTCCACCTAATGGAGCTCTTCCCTCCATTCCTGAGCTGAAGGCTAAGTTTGCCCGTTTTGGAATTATGGATCATTCAGCTACTCGGGTCTTCTGGAAGTCATCCACCTGCCGTTTGGTCTACCAATACAGGGATCATGCAGTGGGGGCCTATAGATTTGCCAGTGCTAGCAATAATTTGTTTGGGAATCCCAATGTGAGATGCTACATTAGAGAAGTGGCAGCCGAAGCACAAGACGCAGAAACTATCAAGGTGCCAAAGGAAGATGTTGCCGCCGAGACTTCTGCAGCAAAAGATGGGGCAGCTGATTCGAGGTCCTCAACAATGCCTGGGCAGCTGAAATCATGTCTAAAGAAACCCCCAGGTGAGGAAGGGCCAATGAGCAATGGTGGTAATGGTAGTAATAGGGTATCACCCCGTGTAAAATTTATGTTGGAAGAAGCTATTATTAGAGGTGAGCAGACAAATGATAGTAGGACCGTCAACGATGCTAGTAGTATTGCTGATCGAAGTGCATCTTCTAGTTCTAATATCAACAATTATACAACTCAGTCGTCCATGATCCCTCTTCCTACTGCTCCATATGCCAATGCACCAAATGATGTTCACTTTACTCATCAAGTAGCCCATAGAAACGTGCCCAATTATAACAATCAAGTGTCCGTTCCTGAAGTTGATATTTCACAACAAATGCTAGGCCTTCTCACCAGGTGTAGTGACATTGTGACTGATCTGACGGGTTTATTGGGCTATGTCCCTTACCATTCCCTTTAATTGGCTCATGACTTTTGGAAGGCTTTTGGCCAGCACCAATCATCAATGCAATGCACAACATTAGCGTTGGGAATGTCGGAAGAGCACTTCTGAAGCAAAGGACGCAGATTAATTTTTGCATATGATAAGGGAGCAGCCAGGGTGGAAATTGGAATTACTAAAAATTGCCCCGATTGTGTACTTTCAGATAGCCTGTATCGAAGAATGATGATAGTGATTTTGTTTTTTATTTGTCTACCCCCTGCCCATCCCCTCCCTTCCCACCACCTGGCCCCTTCTTGAGACTCTCAGAATTGACATGTTATACAATTGAAACTATGTAAAACTGTTCAGAAGTTGGAATTTAGGAATTAAAGAATCAAAGTGGAATCTCGGGAAATAGGGGAGAATTAACAAATGGTCAACAGAGGTATAAAAGAATGTGAACACTCCGTTTTTTAGATGAAAAAGAGCTAAGAAGCGTAGATAAAATTAGGATTTAAGTTATATATGCTAATAGTATAATTTTTTTTTACATCATCGAGTCAATTTATTGATTATAGCAGGTTATCATTTTATTTTTTTAGGTTATTTCAGAAGGCTTGCTACGAGGATTTATTTAGTTGCAAGTAAATTTAGCATGATGATGCAAAAGAATCTATAAACTAATAGTACACTGACTCAAAATCCTCACCTTTTTCGAGAATTTAAACTTCTCTAGTTTTGTAATATTCCCTCTTTTAACAATAGAGCTCTGGCAAGATGTTGAATCGTAGATAAATTTATAATTTCTTTTTCGTTTTTATTTATTTTTAAAAAGGTAGGTTTAATTAAACAGCAATGCATAATAGTAAGTAGGCTTAAGTTGATACAGTAAGAATCATATTCCCTGTCGCTGACATTCACGTTCGGAAGGGGCACCTTAAAACTCCGAGAAATTAGAGACTGAGAATAAATGGATCTGATTGAGTTCCTCTACTGATTTGATTCTCCCTAAATATTGAAATATAAATAATTTTGTATTTGAATCAATTTGAAATTAAGTGTATTCCGATAATAAACTCATTTTTAGTGTCAACATCAATGACTTATTTTCACCTTCTTGTACCTCTATCTGTGACTACTTATTCATAAAATAGACTTCCATTACTTTAAAGGATAATTTCAACCTTTGGTGCTTAAAAATACTTAAATTCAGCTTGGCTATACGGCTTCCATATCATTACAGATTAAGATAACACTACCAGCCTATGTCTTAAATCTTTTTTTTTTTTTTCCTTCATATTTTCGATTAAGCAAATAAAGTACACTGTTGTTCTATAAAGCTTTTCTTTCATTCTTGTGTTTTTATTATTTATTTACCAAAATACTAAAACTAAAAAGTTCTAGAATCTTACGTCTTCGTTAACGCCTCTCATTAAAGCTAGAACGTCTCGCCCCATTCTTTTGACTTTCAAAATTAGGATTCCATTTACACTTCACTATATCGGTGTGAAATTGCTCTTAGAGCTTGTTTGACAAAACTTTTCAGAGGCTAAAAGTATATTTTTTAAATTAAAAAAGTATTTTTTGAAAAGTTTAAGGTGTTTGTCCAAAATGATAAAGTTCCTTTGAGCATTAACAGAAGTAAATTTTTTGATTTTGGGGAGAAGTTACAAATTCTGAATTCTTTCAAAAAGCAGAAGCAAAAGCATAAATTAATTTATTCAAGACAAAAACAACCTTACAATAAATTTATATTTTTCAAATTATTTCTCATTCATTTAATTTTTATTTTTCTTTTCCTTTTCTTTTTTTATTTCTACTATATCTTTCTTCTCTTTTTTATTTTAATCATATTTTTATTCTCTTTCTCCTATTCTTAAGAGTATATATTAAATTTATATTGAATGATGTATTTTGATATATTAAACTATCATGTAAGTAATAGGTAATGGAGTATCAAATACTCAATGTTATTGCTTTGGAATAACTATTTTTATATTGGTTGAAAATTATAATTTATATTTTTACTTTACATTTTATATTTTAATTTGATTCTTTTATAATAAATATTTAAATTTATTTTTTCTTTTTTAAATAATACTAATTGCAGACTAAACCTTTACTGCCCTTTTTCGTAATTTGATACTTTAAAGTACTTTTTGAAAAGATTGGTCAAACTAAATGAACTTGCAAAAAACACTACTCAAATGAACTGGTCAAACACAAACTGATATTTTGCAAAAATAAAAAATATTTTTGAGCAAAATCACATTTTTAAATAAGCAATTTTTGACGGCTTGGCCAAAAGACTTTTGGTGCTAGTGAAGAATCCAATTCCACCACCATATATGTCACCATTTTGGGATCGTAAATTAATAGAAGACTTTTATATTTTGACTAGACATAAATCTCCCAAGATATGATTATACTTCAAATCGTTATATACGATTTTAGAGCAATTATTTTTAAAACAAAGCATATTCGGTTATCTTATTCTTCAAATATTTGTAATTTGTGTGGTTTTAGCTGAGCAGAAAAAAGAATACTAGAAATGGAAGAAAAATCTACATAAAGATCCACCTTTATTTACGTATTTTGTCAAGAAAAAAAGCATTTTTCATGTATAATTTGGACTTCCATAGAGTGATCAAGTATTTTAGAGCTTATGATTTTATGACCATTCGAAATTCTTTTAGTTATATAATTTTTCACATGAGATTTTTATGTTAAAACACAATAGTACAATAATATAAAATGATAAGAATCTTTATAGTTGGAGCACTTATATTTTTCTATTTAAATTAATACTCTCATATCATGCCTTCGAAATTTCGTCAAAATTGCGTTAGCTTATTCCGTAAGGCCGTTTGGGTATATTCTAAAATTTCCACACGCAGTTGACGCGAGGTTTGTTCTGACTTGGGCGCTTAAGATAAGGAAAAGGGATAAATACTATTCTGATGGGGATAACGCGTCTACTATTTTATCATAATCCCGTAGGACACTCTCGCTTTTTCTGGATATCGAAACGACGATACCCATTCAGAAAAGCAAATTAGCCCTTTTACTTATGGACCCAATGTAACCGTGTACTTGCACTTCATACTCGAATTAGATACCTTCTTTTAATTTATTTTTTTTAAGAAAAAATTAAAATAGATACCTTCTTTTTACATAGTAAAAGTAACGGTGGAAAATAGACCAAGTGGACGGGTAACAAGATTTTAAATATTTGCCACTACATTTGATTTGTAATCCTTTAACCATGTTGGTACAACATCCAACTTATATTTTCTCAAAAGTAAAAAATTTATATTCAACTAATCAATTTTAAAAATACTTTTGAACAACAATTCGTATTTGGCCAGACTTTTAAAAACTACTTCTAATTATATATTTTTTTTAAAAATATATAATTTAGTAAGAAGTTATTTATTTATCCTTCTCAAGAGCTGCTCCTGTTTTAATTTAAAATATTCTTTTTCTACTAAAAGTTTGATCATGAACCTTAATTTTTTTTTAAAATATTTTTTTATAAAAAATATACGTTTGAATATGGCCCTGAATTCATTGTGATTGCTTACTTACCAGTTAACCGCTTTATTGGTGCTGACGAGAAAAAAAACACTAATTTATTGGGGATTAATATATTTACTTTAATCCAACTTGTGTAGAGTCGGTTCATGTGAACTTTCCTTGTCTTTTCCTTCATTATTATCCTTTCCTATAAATAAAACTCTTTCTTTCCCCATAAACAGAGTCAAACAAACAGAATTTTCTCACGACTATTTTCTCATTCTCCTAGTTTCTTTCTTTGCTAGTTCAACAATCCAAAACAATGGAGTTACGTCCATTAGATATCAAAGTTATTGCCGCAGACGGCATAAAGAATGTCAATACTTTCTCTAAAATGGATGTCTATGTTGAAGTCTCCATCTCTTATCCTAACCAAACCAATAAGCAAAAGACCTTCGTCCACAAAAATAGTGGCACAAATCCTAAGTGGAATCACTCTATGAAATTCACTCTTGACGAAACTTCCCTCACAAAACCAGGGCTTTACCTCATCTTTCGTCTCAAATCTGAACGTACTTTAGGTGACACAAAAATTGGTGAAGTCTCTGTTCCTATTCATGATCTCTTTAATCAGTCTACTTCTAATGGCACAGCCGAGAGGTTTGTTGAATATCCAGTAATAACAGAGAGCGGAAAACCGAAAGGTACTTTGAAATTTTCTTACAAATTTGGTGAAAAATTTACAGCGGCTGATCAAAAGAAAGAGGTAAATCATGAGCCTGTTACTGCTTATCCCGCGCCGCCACATGCTGCTGGTGCATCATATGGTATGGCTTATAATCAGCAAAATTCCGGATATGCGTATCCTCCTCCTCCTCAAACTTCTTATGGTGGGTATGCACACACTGGATACCCACCTGCTGGTGGTGCACCGGGTTATGGATACCCGCAACCACAGCCTGGTTATGGGTATCCACCCGTACAACAACCTGGGTACGGATATCCACCGGTGCAACAGCCTAAGAAAAAGAACAAGTTTGGAATGGGAGGTGGATTAGGTTTGGGATTGGGTGCTGGTTTGCTTGGTGGTTTGTTGGTGGGAGATATGGTTTCGGATGTTGGAGAGATGGCTGCTTATGATGATGGCTATGGGGATGCCATGGGAGATATGGGTGGCTTTGATTTTTAGATTAATTTTGGTGCTTTGTAATTTTATTTTATTTTATTTTGTTCTTTGGAGATATAATAAACTGCAGTACTTTGTATATTTTGGAAGTTCTTTTTTTTTATTTGTTTAGATCTCTTGTATTCGAGTCATTGACTACTTCTTGCTACGATTTTCTAACTGAATATGCTTTTAGTTCCTAAGACTACTTCTTGTTGTAATTTAATTTAATACACAATTTTTCATACATGAGTTTCTCCGAACAATCACTCTTCTAATTTATGTGAGAAGTTTCGTTTCTCGGATCAATTTGACTAATCTTTAAAGTTAAATTGTTTATTAGGTCAATTTAATATTTTAAAATTAAAATTTGAATATTTAAAAATTAATAAGTTGCATCCTACTCAGACTCATGTTGAGATAATGCAAAATATATTTTAAAATATTTGTTTTAAGTTCACTTAGTGTCGGTCCCGCCCCCTTTCAATGGGTATAGCAAAGAATATACATAGATGATAGATCTTGTCCTAGTCTTCCCCTCTGTTTGCGAATAGTTGAGTATGTGTCCTCTGTGTGGAGTTCGGAACCAAAATTGATTCTTTTGGATAAGTAGCACTTTAATAGGTGTAAAACAAAAAAAGATGACATTTTTATATATAGCGCCCAAATACTGGGCGCTATACATTAACGTTAATTGTGCCCTTAATGTATAGCGCTGAGTATTTGGGCGCTATATATAAAAGCTGCCACGCCCAGGTATAGCGCCGGGGCGCTATACATACAACTTTATGTATAACGTCCAGTATTTGGGCGCTATACACCTTTTTTCTGGCCCCACCAATAATTCCTGACTTCAATAATTCAAAAGCGTATAGTGCCCACTTTTTGGGCGCTATATATAAAAAAAAAAATTCCCGGCTAGCCATTTCCTATATAAAGAGGTTAGGATTGTATAGAAATTCATTCAAAATTTTTTTTAACTCTTGTTGAAACGTTTATTGTTGTTAAATTCTCCAGCATTTTTTCATTATGTCTGAAGAGCGTAGAATAAGAGTTTCATTATATTGGGGGG